CTAGTTTTACATTTGAAAAAAATGATAATAACAATATACGTATGCTAACAACACATTCGTTACATATATTGATGCGTACATCTTAAAAGACAGCAGAAATGACAGAAACTTTTTTATTCATTCAAATAATTGTTTTGGTTACATTTCAAACTGAGTTCTTCACCTGTTAGGTTCATGATAGATCCCGAAATTTTTTGTTGGGATGAACCCTTCTAGAGAAAAATGTGTACTGCAATATTATCGGTTAGTCCGTAGAGTGTGAAGATATCTGTTGTAAATGCTGCCGAAAATAGCAACGAATGTAACTGATAAACCCAGAATAGACCAAGCAGACATTGGGTGACCATATGCTATCGTTGAAAGAAGTATGGAAGTTATTTGCCGCAACGTCATCATTATAGCGAATACTGATGGTCCGAATCGTTCGATAGTTGAGTATATTACAACCTAAATTTTGTTTTGAGGCTTTCTCATCGAAACGATGATAATCGGATTATTTATAACTCGGGTCACTTTGAAATTGAAATGGCAAATTAAGAAATTTCTACAGAAAAAGAATTCCTGAGAATTTATGGAAAGACTTCAGTCGATGTACGGTTAGTGCTGACTTATAATTCGATCCAATCATGACTTTAAAATATGGCATCATCTTCAGAGAAAGTGAATAAATCGAATCTTGCTATGATATGTAGTTTGAGACACAGTTTTTAACATACCTAATAAACGAAAAAGTTCAAATCCTATAGGAAGAACTTACAAATTCTTCATCTTAAAAACTTTTAACCCGAAAACCCACTTGTCCTAAAGCGCCAGACAAAGAGAGCAAAAACACATCTCGGGCAAAACCTTCATGAGTCGCCAGAAAACGAAACGGAGCAGTAAAAGCTCCTTCTTCTATAAGTGTTACGAAGCACAAAAACATGCTAAATATATTCACACCAAACATCATCTGCAAAATGCCAATATTCAATTTCTTCAGTTTGCTTCGCTATGTCAACGTCTCAAAAGCAGAATACTCATATTTGAGAACTTAGCGTCATTACTAAATTATGAAGTTGAGAAAGGATGTGTTGGGTGATCCAATTAACTGGCCACAATTTTTTTGAATTATACTTTTCACATTTTTGACAGACAAATAATGTTTGAGTTTAAATGAATACTTTTTAGATGAAAGCACTCAGAGCCAATTATTTGGGTTCAGAATAGTGAAAGGGTAATAAATCAAATCTATAAAATTTGAGAACTACTAATATATAACTGATTTACTAAGAAATATTTCAGATTTTTATCACATCGAAAAACAGCTGATACCAAAACCTGATATCTGGAGACTCGTGGACGAACATCGAAAAGTTTCTTTTGCCAATTTAGAGTAAAAGCATCGAACAGAAGATAACCACTCATTAACAAAATTCCAGAAATAGTAGTGACACGACCATCTGCAAAAATGTAAATGAAGTAATTACAGTGAGGGAAACAAACAAATTCACAAAATATTTCCACAATAATGCACATTATTTTGGCATTTCTAAACATAACAATAAAGTTTATGACACACAATTTAAACAATTTATAGAGCACTAAATTTTAAATGCACAAATTTATTTTATTCTTATATAACTGATGAATAATGTAGTGTGACAGAATGTTTTCAAAAGATTACCGTTTGATCCAAATGCTGCAGAATTGTTTGAAAGAAAAAATAAAGATGCCCCGAATGCAAGCGTAAAAGCACATAAACATTCAGTACGCCCATAACGCTCACCTCTGACAATAAAGCCCATCAACATCGTCGGCAGAACTTTCGATGCTTTGCAAACTATCTAAAATAACCTTTTTTGTTCGAAAAGTTCTTAAAAATGCACTGAAATATACCTTGTAATATACCTTAACATTTTAATCAATCAAATGAAAGAATTGCTGTGTAGATCAAAATTATGTGGCAGTTCAATTCAAATTTCAATATACAGAGTCAAAAAATACTTGGGCTGGGAATGAAACGTATTTCAGAGCTTCATACTGACACCACGACGACAGTGTATTGGAAAGTGAAGCAAATGAATGCTTGTATAATGGAGGAGCATGCACAGGTTCCCTGTAATGGTTCAACACATTATGTATACAACATATGAAATGTGAACAAAATTCAATTAAATATTTTAACTGTTAAAAGACATAAATACAATTTGCAGCTTTATATAATCATTCACTGTTTACTTAAAATTGAAGTAAATTCAAAAAACATTTCAAGCAATCTAGTATATAGAGAACCTTTTCCAGTTTACACTCAAATAAAATACACAAAAAAAAATGGCAAAGACACGATTCACAAAAACAAGAAACTGAGTGTTTTCAAATTTCCACAGCTGATGATCAACCGTTGACAGATAACCCTGAAAATACCCATTGCTCTTGATCTACGTTCAAAAATCATACTCCAAGATGAAAAATTTTTATGTATGCATGAAGATTTTTGTTTTGTTGATATTTGCAAAAATGAATAAGGATGAAAGAATAATTCTGACCTGTTTTTATGTAAAAATGACCATCAAAATTAATGAAACAGAATCATTAAAAAAGTTACCTTTGTCATAATTTTTTCTTGAATGTAACCCATTGAAACGAGCGTAATTTGAAGCCCAGAGAAACATAAAAGAAGATGAGAGCAGTTACTCATAAGACTCGTTTTTTGAGGTACAGTAGTATTTAATTTCACTGTGTCAAAAATCATCAACTCATAGTCAGGTCGGCCCACCGCAAATTTAAGAAGAAATGAATCCAAAAATGTTAATTGTTTGAAACTACCATCTAAAATGAATTATATTAAGTGATAAAAGAAGGATGACACTTCAACAAATAGATGGCTTTACCAACAAAATTGCAACAAGCATATTCCTTACTGGCTGTTTTTCGACGGACATAATAAACTAGAAGAATTACGGGAACTGAAACTGTTGCGTAGCCCGAAAGAATAAAAAAAAAACGAACGAGCCAAAAATCACTCGAAAAGACTGCCAAAAGCATCTCTAAAATATATAAATATATGCAACACAAGCGATAAAGTTTCTAAATTCCCCTTCAATTACTACTCAAATGCCACACTTTCAATATTACTACTTAATTTGAATTAGCTGCGGATGTAAGCTGCATAGTCTTTACTGATGAAAAGTTTCACGTTTCATAACAATGTTTTTACTTTTCCATCTTTTCACTGACTAAAGCTTTATGCATTTCGATAAATTGAATTAATTGAATATACAACCATAAGCTGAATTTCTATGCATCAAAATGCCCTCAGTTCAAATGCTTATCTTCTGGCATTTAAAAAAGTTTGAATGAAAAAGAAATGGAGATTGAAACGGTCATTGTTAAGTAAAAAACAGAAACACTGCAATTTCTTGTTATTTTTCTCAATTTAAAACAGTTTTGAACCATCATTTAAAACTAAAAAACACTACGAAAAGAAATGTAGCTAAGATTTAGGAAAATGAAGAACGTTCAAATAGTTTCTTGTGAAAAACCAGCGAGGCACTCAAAACAATTTCGAACATCTGACTGCTCAAAATATTTTATCTAACTAATACATAACTAGATTTGTCATTAACTGCCTGCTTATTTCTTACTTGATACAAGAAAATAGAAATTCGTGCTAGCATAAAATACTGTATAGACGTTTTCATAATTCAGTGAGATAAGAAATTTTCACCTTGAGTGAAACAAATAGTGATAAATTTATTTCCTTCTGAATAGCTACAAGTGAATTGATAGAACTGCAAAACCTTTGAGGAGGGAATAACGCACCATCAGTCTACTTTCCGCAACTGCCCTAAAGTTATCAACATTTTATCATGAGCGCACAAGAAATGACACTTATAATAAAGTTAGTTCATTCCGAATACGTCTACTTGCCATTCTAGACCTGAAGCTTTTTAACTCAGATTAATAAAGCATGACTAGTCTACGTATTACTTCCCAAAATATTTTACAAATTAATTTGATAGCTTACCGCTCAGCAGGAAATCTTCAGATACCAAATTCACTTCTTTCAATTAAGAACCAAAGAAATGACCAAAAAGCAATACCATCCAACAAAGATCTACAACTATCATCTACTTCAACGCTGCAACTACAGTTCAGTTCTATCCTTCTCATTAACTATTATCAGGAAAGGTTGAAGCAGAGCTAGTCCTTCAGTTTTGAAACAAGTACGAATTTCTGAAGATTGCTTTTCTAGGAGCAACGAGTCAGCCATTTACTTTATTTCACTGATATTAAATCGTTTTATAAATAATCAATATTGGAAATCTAACTGAACTACTCCTATTCAAAATGAAAACACCTAAGTTTTCTATGCGCCAAAGAATATAATCAATTTATGTTTTTTAATTTAAAGGATAGTTCAAAACTGTTTTAAATTGAGAAAAATAACAAATGGCCTTAAAGAATATACTACATGCAGAATCTTTAGAAAATTTTTTGATGAAATACCATTAATATTTAGTACTCCACAAGTAATAAGATTGAGTGTATCCTAAAACTAAAAATACAAAAAATAGTCATGACTCCTCCATAACATGTGTTAAAAACTTTTCTAAGCACGATTTATTTAACGAAAAAACACAAATACAAATTTACTGTATATATACAACAGTGTCTGAAAACGGTACGAATACGAATGAAATAATAAGCTTTTTCAATTTCTTCACATATTCATATTTTTTGGAGGTGCAAACTTTTAAATCGCTGCTTTAAAGTTATAATTTTCTAGGTTTCACATAAATGCTCAGTTTATTCCAGTGATTTCCTTCAAATAATATGAAGCAGTTTAGCATTTAAATTACTGACTTTTGAATAATTTAAGATTGTCTCGAGCTTGAGTCAGAATCACTGTCTTCAGAGTCAGAACTTGTCTCTGATTCACTACTTGATGAGGATGATATATCAGTATCTGAATCATCCTCACGAATATTTCTCCTCTTCTCCGTTACTTCTTCTTTTACATCTCGATCCACATCTTTTTCAATAGGTATATCATTTTCAGCAAGCCTTTCTTTCCACCTTCTCGCAGCTTCGAATAATTTCATTGTTCCTTTTGCCGCTAAAATAAACGAAGTACTTATTGTTAATAAAAAATTAAAAACAGACAAATGTGGTTGATTACACATTTAAGCTTTTGCTACGACTTTGCGGAAGAAAACTGTTACTTTGATCATCTGGAAATATCAAATCAAAATATTCTTCCCAACCGGCATCTACACCATCTTCAGTTTGAATCTGACGACGCCTCTTTACTTTTCTAGGCATTAAGCGAGAAACCTGAAAAAATATTTTTAAATACTCTAGAACACTATCCAATTAAGGAACATATTAAGGAACAATGAAATTAAGGAACATACTGAAGCCACCGATTCCTCATTCCCGTGCTTTGTCTCAAACTCCATCCATGACTCAAGAAGCAATGACCTCTCTTCTTTTTCTCCATTTGTGAGACTTGTGTTTGCTCGCTGGTATATTTTTCGAGCACTTTCAACGTCACCGATATGCAATTCAAATTCCGCCATACTGATCCAGACCCAAAACAGTTCTCTCATAGATTAACCTTATATTACGAAAAAAGGCTGAAAACATATATAAGCAATTCTTCATTTTTGTCTTATTACTCTCCATCTTTTTAAGAACATGAGACAATTAAATCACTTGAGGACGAAAATGGGAACATGAGTGGTATATTACATCGATTTCAGCATAACCAACCTTTATATGATTGGTTCGTTCCAGAAGGTCACCATACAATTCTCGAGCTCTATTATATTCTTCTTGATTTACTTCGAAATCAATGTATGCTTTCCATAAAACCTAGAAATACTAACCACCACCTCGAGATACAAATAACGATAATTGAATTTTTGGAACAATACTTCAACTCTTGCAAAAATTAACAGAACCTAATCTTGACATATAAATAAAGCTTCAGATTTTGCCATATCACAAGCCAATTGCGTGAAAATCTTTAAATTATGAAAAATGTCGCTACTTTTCAATTATTTCTTTTAATTCAACACATTTCATTCATTTTATCACGCTAGTCATTACATTTTTATAAACTTATCTGAATATACCTCAGGCATATCTAAAGCTGCTTGCTGCACAGCTAAAGCAAAAATTGCACGTGCACGATCAACATCACCAAGAAGAGTTTCCATTTCCGCAAATTTTATCCAGGTGTTACTATTTTCTGGACCATATTCTAAAAATTTTCCATATAATATTCGACATCGATCGAATTCACGTAGTTGCAATTCGAGATCTATATAACTTCGAAAGAGTTTATTTCTTGGACACATTCCAATTGCATTACCCTACAATTAATAATTGAAAACCTAAAAAACTTTGAAAACTAATTCGTAATAAGTGAAACATTACATACTAATCAAACAAATTCTTTTCACATCATGAAATATTTGCCTTCTACAAGTATAAATTTGCTTTTTTGTCCAACAAAAAAGCAAACATTTATTTCACAAGGAGCACATTTTTTAATATTTTAAGACAAACCATTATTTTGCGTGCGCTCAATATCTGCAGTTGTCGTATTTCGAAATGAGAAAACATAATCCATATTTTTGAAAAAGTGAATTTCTTATGAGGAATAACTTGTAGGCAAACTTTATAGACCTGGCGTGCTTTTTCTATGTCTCCAACATCCAGCTCCTCATAAAGTGCGTAATTTATCCACAAATAAATATAACGCCGCCAATACCTACAAATACGGTACGTTCAGTCGAAAGGTAAATATTTATCAGTAAAATTATTTTAATTTCCTTACATCCATACTGTTCGTTCATATACTTGGAGGTTACTAACCGATCACCATAAAATAGTAATTCACTTGCAAACCATATGATTATGATTTTCAAGTGAATTACTATTTTAAAGTTGAAAGGTATATTTTGGTGCCTAATTATTAATAAGCATCTTATTGACAATACTTTATTTTAACAAATAAAATAATTTAAAACCTTTTTTCCGGTTGCAGAGGTATATTAGCGATTGCTCTTTCGAATGTATCTTCCATTTCGTCACGGTCAACACACTCATTTTGAAGCAAACGAATATAGTCAAACCAAGCATCATAATTATATGAGTTTTCAGCGATTTGCTATGATTAACAATATTATCGAAATCATTCTTGAAAAATTCAGGACCACATATTTGAAATAAATATATAAAGACTTGATATCTTAAGTATATTAGAAACCTACTTTTTCGTATTGATGACGACGTTTGCTAACAATTACGTTCTCGATTCCTGCTCTTTCACCATATTTTTTCTCATGTATTGTATAGTGTTTAAATATTTCTTCTGTTGAACTTGCTGGAAGGCGATCCAAACCATATCTACAAAACTCTCAAAGGGTATAAAATGACAATTATCAACTTCTTCCATGTTTTTTTGAACTTCATATCAAACTGAAAATGAGTAATTTCTATAGATTAGTCAAATTTTAGAAATATGGACCTGTAAATAACTCTCGCCCTTTCATGTTCTTTCTGTCGCTCTTCAAATTGAGCAAATGCAATCAATAACGCTTCGCTTAAATTTTCATCCCCAAAATATTCCAAGGCCCGTTCATAAATCTATAAGTAATCTATAAACACTTCTAATAATTTTATTATTGTTAGCCTGAACTTGAAAAAATTTCCTTGAAAATAAAGTTTGAGACTGAAACTTTACGCAATTTTTAAGGAGAGATTTGTTTAATGATTGACACTTACAACGCGAGAATTTCCAATATAGCCGAATCTTTCCTCAAACTTCGCATAACGTAACCACTGCTTTACATTATGTCCATGAACATGAAGGAAGCGCTGCCAAATAGTACGTGCACGATCAATCTCTTTGTAACGCAACTCAAAATTGATGTAAGTCTGCCAAGCTTGTTCAGGTGGCTCCCATTCCATCCATCGTTCAAACACCTGAAATAAAATTGATAAATCACTATTTTATTTATCGTAACTATTCTGAATAATATACTAAAACAGTTGAAAGAGTATTAACATAAGTCAAACATAATTTCGTTAGAGAAAGAGGAGGCTCACTTGTCTTGCTCCTGGTATATTGCCAATTAATTCTTCCATATATGAATATTTCAACCAAAACTGAGTAGCTCGAGGTAAAATAGTGACTGCTCTATCCCAAATGTTTCGTGCATGATTAACCTGTTTATTTCTGCAACGCACATAATGATAATGATCGTATAAGTTACAAAATATTTAAGAGAAATCTATATTTTACAACCATAAAAGATTAAATAATAAAATGTGGTTACGACCAGTCAGCAATATCAATCACTGTTACCAATTCTCAATCAACGAAACATTTACCTCATTTCCATTTCAGCATACTGAAGCCACAGAGTAATTGAACGGTGATCCGTATCAAGTGCACGTTCAAATACAGAACGAGCTCGTTGCATCTCGCCTATATTTTCCTCCCATTTAGCATATTTAACCCAGTTTGCTATTTGGGACCGATTTTTCCGAATATTGTCTTCGAATTCTTTTCTGAAAGAAAATAAATAATACTGAAAAACATCTGTATTTAACCAAGATTTTACTCATAAACTAGGTTTATCAATATATGCCATAATAATATTCGGAGCACGAAAATCTCCTTAAATTAAAAAGCATTAGTTCTAGGTCTGAGCTGAAAATTCATAACTAATGCGACGCAAATAGTTTGAGAAAAAAACCTTCGCTTTCTTTGATACTCTGCCAATTCCTCTGGATCTGATATTTTTGTGCGTGGCGGTGGTGCAACAATTTCTAAGTCTCGTTCTTTCGCTTCTCGCAACAACTGCTCTGCTGTTATTTGTAAAGCTGCTGGAGCCTGGAAAAATGTCATGTATGTTGTCATAATTCCAATGACTGAAATCCTATGTTTCAGGACATAAATGTACGAACATGTAGCTGAAAGATTAAACTTCTGATTCAAGCCCTAAATATGAAATGACTGCGCCCTTTCAGAAAACTTTTATTCATTTAGTAAACTATGACTACTTAACTAGTGTTAAAAAAATCGCACGTTAGCAATAAATGTTCTCCTAATTATAATTGCAGTGAATATATTTATGTATGGAACATTTTCGAGATATCTACAAAAAAAGCAAGCAAAGTATAGCAAGACCTGCTCAAATAACATACTTTATTTTTAACTTTAGCCGCTTTCTTTGGTAAGCGCAATGGTTTATTACTTGGAGCTTCTTCAAAGTCATCCATTATTTAATCCTCAAAAAGTAAATTGACAAGATACTTCACAGATACAAACTATTCAAATATCAGTTATCCTCAGTAGAGAAACTGAAACCTCCACATGTCACTCTCAAAACACATTATCCGTGTTGACTGAACTTTTTCCATGCAAGACCACACTTTTGCATCGTTCTGGATCCCAATGAAAATGCTTATTCCAATTGCCCGACCTGCATCTCGACGACTAACCAAGCATAAAAGCACTATAGTGCAAGTGGTGCTAGCAATGCATTACCAGAGTCAAAAAGTCTTCACAATTTATCCTTACTAAAGAGATTTGTGCAATCAACAGTATATTGGGATTGAGATGCAACAAGCATTTACTTCCTCTCGCATTTATTCACTTAGCATATGTATGAAAATATGGTTTGTTCACGACAACCATTACAATAGTAAATATTAAAGTGATGTACTTCGAATTAGGAATATAAAGCACGTAGAGACAGAAACATTATAGTTTTAGACAAACATTAATTTTTTTAAACTAAAATAATGAAATTTTAGAGCAAAAACAAAATATATGGAGCTTCAGTTTAATTAAATATTAAATGGAGGATCTCGAAATCACTGCTAGAATAAAATCGTCTTCATACTTCACAGTTAAACTGGTGCCTTTCTCAACGTCGTTTTAATGGGTTTTCAGAATAAGCTAAAATAAAGGACTTCTTTTCAAATCAGTGAGAAATAAAATAAAAAACGAGAATGTACCGACAACAAAAATAGAATCGACTTTCAAAGTCAATAGAAAAAAGCACCAGCTTTCGATTCATGCATTGGCTCGTGTTAATTCTAATGCTGAGTTCATGTAACAAAGACTCTGAGTAATACGACTCCAGTCAATGGTTTTGTTCGCTAGAGTCGGCAAACACGTTTTTCCACGAGCACGACGTCTGCAATGAAATAAGAATATATTGCGCATACATTTAAAACTGAATACTGCTAAAGACAGATATAATATACATAATATGTGACGGTACCATTTTAAGAATTTGAAGCAAAAGATTTGAGTACTACAGAAACGCTTACAACATTGCCTTGAAATTGTTTCGACCTCTTTTGGCCCACTCATCAGCCTGATAAATTGGTTCCGGAATTGAAATTGCTTGATTAACAATTTGATGAGTGAAGCATAATGCCATCATTAATGCTTGTACTTCATCCATATTTAAATGCGCTTCATTGAGAGGAATAGAATAAGCCGGTAACTTCCCAGTACCCTAAAACTTTATTTACATATCGTTATATATTTTTTGCTACTAATAATCACACTCATGATACTGATCTAATCAGTAATTCGCTTGCGACATGACAATATGAGGGAATTATGGATGCTTTTACGCTTCAAAGTAACTCCAAAAATTCTAACCTTAATAACTTTATGAGATTGCATGAAAAACTCCGTTGTATCTGGACGTGTAATATCTCGATCAATTACAGTTAAAGGCAAGCAATTTTCTAGAGTGCGACCTGGAATGATAGTCTATCAGATGTCAGTAATAGCGCAGTAAAATAGAGGTCTTCATTTTCTTCAAGGAAAACCTCTCAGAAATTTAATTACATCTGAATTTCCCACCATTGTCAATCGCGAAACGCTTATTGTGCCTTTTACAAGCAATTATACAAACAATGCTTGGTGAGTAATTCTTGATTCCAACTTTTTTCCCGTAATTGCGCATTCCTTGACGAAGAGCTTCGACCTCATCTTCCATAACCTTAAAACTATTACATTCGTAATAAACAAAAAAAGGAAACAGATATATAGAATGTATTAAAAAGGCTCACTCCACAAGCTCGAAATACCGAAAAAAAGATGAGGAAAACTCATATTTTTAAAATTACACTTTCAGCAGCTAACCATTTTGAACTGCCCTTCTGAAACTCCATCTCGTGTAATGATTATAAGCTCAGGTAGCATGCCATTACGATTCGCTTGAAAAAGACCCAGAATCCATTGCATTCTTTCTTCCAAAATAGAGCTTGTTACTTGTTCTTTACGAGGCTCTTGGTATGAATAATCACCGATAAATGTTTCGGGACAAACAGCACCATTGAAACTGATCTAAATAACAGTTTAGATATCAAATTGAAAATAACAAAATACTAAATTGTTTTCATAACATAGAAAGAAAGCTTGTTCCAAAACGTACTCCCAGAACACTTGGCTGTGAGGGAGCAATCTTCATCCTTCTTTCGTGTTTTGACTGAGGCTCAGGGTGGCAAACATCATAACCAATGATAAGAGTTTTTCCAGTCGAAATCCATTTATTAGTTCTAAGAAATATATAACGACTCTAAATTCCACTGCTGTCGTTTAACAAAATTCAAGACTCATATTTATTCCTTAAACGAAAATTTTCAAAACATACGCAAAAGACTCTGGTACAATTCCGTAACACTGCCCAAAATTCTTGCAATTCAACTTATTGATTATATTCTCTAGTGTAGCAGGTTTTTTGGGCGCTTCACGAGCTCGTAATACATGTATGTGCTGAGTGATTATACGATAAAGAGCCTCGCATAACTTCAAGTCATCTAGAAAAAGTGACATGCAAATTCTATCCTAAAACCTACACATTCATTAAAAAAATTACTTTTTGAGACCAAATCATGACATTAATGACATTAAATTGATAGTAAAACCATGAGTGTCATCCCGGGAATCGATATACATGATAAACACTCGTTCTTTTGGATATGTTCCACGGATTTGTTTAAAAACTTTTTCCAGACATTCAAACGGAACATTTCTAATAACTGGATTAACCATTTGTATGCCTTTTCTGTAGCATTCCCGAATCAGAATTTTTGCAAATGTCCTAAATTATAAGTTTAAACTTTAAACTCAAATTGAAATTGCTTTATTTGAGAGGCTATTTTATGACAAACTGGTCAGAAGAAAACTGCCAAGAAAACTCACATGACCATGTCACCATCTCTAACATCATCATAAAATATGTACCAACAACGGAGATATGCACTCACTAAATACCCTTTTGCAGTCATTCGCCAGTTTGCCTGCAAGCGAACAAATACACAAACCCCTTTCTACATATTTTATGAAATATGTTTCCTTACATTTCTAGTATCGATGTTGACAACTGCATTAGAATACTGTACTCTTGGTGCAACACGACGATGAGCTTCAACCTAAAACCGCCAAATTTGATTGATAGATATAGTGTTTGGGTGCTGTGACTTGATAGAGTGAACATACGGTGAGCGATGTGGCATTGATTCGCACTCCAAAAGCAGCCATAAACGGATTATAACGAGTAGTAACATCTAAGTTAAGAGCCTGTAGATTTCGCTTGATATCACGAAAACGTTCATATGGAAGCACCGCGCATTCCTTTAAGTTGATAGATATGAAAATATTGTTAGGAATAATACTATATGTGAAAATTCTACGAAAACGCTGTAATACGATGAAATCTTGTTTTATTTTCATAACTCATTTCAGAAAAATAAAATCATACTTTGATAGCACTTTTCATCTGCAACGGAGTCTGCTTACATAATGGAACTCGCTGGAAAGGAGCAACTCGCAGCACTTCTATTGGAAAATAAGAAGTTCCAACTCTTGTTTCTAAACGTACTGCTGGCCAATCTGACCTAAAAAACATTTCATGATTTAATGTTCCTTTTGATTTTGTCAATTTTACGAAGAACAAATGCCACAAATTTTTTACCGATCAGAATCAATCTTAAATCCCGACATACAATGGGATCAAAAACTGAAGGAAGTGCAAATCAGTTTTAAAAGCAATAAGTTACCGAATGTGATAACCCTGCTGTTCATAATATTGTAACATTGGAATATGCGGCACATTTTTGCCAACAGAAAGTCTGAAACAAGTAGATTAAGTGAAGAGCAGCCAACCAAAATACTTCATATATATATGAACTTATTTCATATATATATATACATATATATATGAAGTATAGTCGCACGGCCGAGTTGCCGAGTAGTTGAGCTGCTGGTTTAGCTGTATGAGAGAGCAGGAAATGGACAATAAACGAAAAAAAACCGAGCCTAGAAAAAATTTTAAAAAAAACAGATGAGGTTGTAAAAGAAAGCCTCGTGAAGGACATGGGAAAGCCTCAACTAGTGTATCGGAATCACCAAGACTGAGTGCTGGTTGATTACAGATCACAGCAAAAAGGTAAACGATTCAACAGGAGAATGAAGAACGCAGGAAAAAAGACTAACCTTCGAACTGCTATATATATACATATATAATGTCAATTATAAATGTTTAATTATAAGCTTACCTTATGTGCGCGACAGGCTTATCTGATAAACCAGAAGCAATAAATGATTTATTCAAACAATTAGAATGTTCTAGCCTCAGGTCTGAAAAAGTATAGCCAAATGTAATAATGAATTCTAATCCTTCAAAAAAAATTTCGTTATATCAATTGTATTTGGGATCAATACCTCGAATCATATCGTTAAATCTTCGCACGAAATACGAAAAGCGATCTCGATCTAGAACAGGAACTGGAGCATTATCACTTCTCAACACTTTCTGAACCATTTCCTCTAATGGAATAGCGTCGAAGAACGCAGCTTTTTTCACTGAAAAATATAATAGAAACTTTATTGCATAAGATAAAATTTTTAATATTCAAAATATTAATCTTGAAACAAAACACTTCACAATCAATGATAAGTGCGGGTATGATGTTGCCATCTGAACGTTCAATAAAGCGTATTCCTTTTTCGACACCGGATATCAAGGTTCTGCCTTCATTCAATGGTTGATCGTTCAAGTTAAACTTTTTACCATTCACCAAAAACAGCTTACCACAGCCGAATGCATAATGTGTTCCTCTTCAATACATATTATTTTAGATGCATTTCATAGTAAACTATTAAACTCTAATATAACTTATGACCTTTCAACACAATTACTTCATGAAAAAAATTCGATCTCTTGATCTCTATCTCATAAAAAAAAATCACATTAGCGAAATGAGCTAAATCTCAGTAGCATTACGATCAAGACAGAGTTCTTTGTAAAATAATTTAAGATTCATATTTCAAGAACATGTTATACGACCAACATGTGATTGTTTTTGAACAATTTTTTACCTCGAAAACAAAAGAATTTAATGCAATTATAATTCTATTAAATATTCATGGTTTTTAAATATACTTCTGCAAAGCATTATTATTTGTAAGAATTTCGAAAAATTGTCGAAATGATCGATCCTGACGAGCCAAATCATTTGACACTGAACTTCGATAATCCGATACATTAAATGTATGCGCATTTTCTGTACATGGTGATATCTCGATTGTTACATCGCAAGCACCGATTATATCACGCAGTTCTGGGGTCAGCTGTTCCAATGAAAGCTTCAAGCGAGGTGGCTAAAACAATTGCTTACGATTCATTTCGAAATACTAACAAATTACTGATAACAATCGTTATATATATGTAAAAATGAGTGCTCAAAAATTGGAAAAATTAAAGACTTTACCAAATCCTTATTAATTGGTTCATTTGTGAATAATGTGCTCGATAAATCGTATAAATATGCGGCATTTTCATTAAGAACGCGGTATAACTCTAGAGCGCGTCTCATCAACAGCATACATTTTCTGTGGCGCAATGTTATTCCACAGCTACGATAGTAATTTTACGTACTAGTAAATTTGATTAAAATGATTAGCAAACTTCACATACGCTTATACTATCTCCGAAATAAACTGTGGCAAGAATGCTATTTAAAGCATTCTTGCCACAGTTATTAAAAACCTGAGCATGCAAACGGGCTCTGTAGACACATTGCCAGATTTTAAATGAAAACGAATGAATCTGGATTTTAAAGGAGATAAAGAAGAACGAATACTTTATAATGAGGTTATGAACAATTGTTGACTGAAATATATCATAACTTGAAAGCAGAAACGTACTCATCTCTGTCCCCTCTGCAGAGATCTCTAGTTCGTTCCTGTGATGTATCCACACGACTCGCATACATGCGAACGTCATAACGATATACAACTCGACTTTCAATTTCCAAAGGAAAAACGTTAGTTTTTACAAAAACCTTTTCTCGTTGAACAGCTGGAGGCAACTTTGGTGCCATTAAGCAAGGTGATGGTCCAAAATTGCGAATAGTTTGATTGCTGAAAAAAATTTCTTGCTGTCATGAATCAAAAATCAGTTCTTTGGCTAAAAGTTAATTTCACATGCAAAGAGCTCTGTAAGCATTTCAGTTTATTTAGCAATAAGAGTGGTTCAGTAAAAAACTACTTCGCATTATGATCAGTAAAATCTGTCAATTTATTTGGCTGATGGACGCCCATTTCTGGCACATCAGAATCTGTCGTATCGGTATAGGACGTCTGAGACCGAGAATCATCATATACAGATGAACTATGCACAGGACCAACTGCTGAACTGTGCACAGAATCAACTGCTGAACTATGTACAGAAACAACTTCTGAACTATGTATAGATTCAACTGCTGAATTATGCACAGAATCAACTGCTGAACTATGTACAGAATCAACTGCTGAACTATGCACAGAATCCCTGAATGTTGTAACACCTTTTGAAACCTAAACATAAAACCTTTAATAAGCTAAAATTCCCACAGCGATTAAGTTTTCTTTTTTAAAGAAATCTTTTGCTTCATTTATAAGAAACTAAATAATGAACCGAGGAAGCCTGGTCAGAAACTGAGGGTGGAGTTGAGTTACTATCACATTTTTTTGTCAGTGCTGTATTATCAGAAGACGATGTAGAATGTTCTGAATGAGAATCCAATGTCGTAACCACACCACTTGCTCCACAAGCTGAAGACTGTTGCAAAACCATCTCCGAAACAAGTTTTTTATCGGTTTTATTACTTAGAGATTCCATATTTTCTCCTGTTAACATAAATAAAATGAGGTGTTGAATACTGAACGGTTTTACAATTGAAGCGCATAAGTAAGGCGAGACATTATAAGAAACATTCAGTGCATTTTCTATTTTTTATTTCTATTTTTTATACATTTAGACAATTAAGAAACTATTTTGGGAAAATATTTCATAGCAGATATATTTCAAATTCTATAAAAATTTTGCTTAAAAGAATACCTCCAACACTGGCTGCAACTTTAATTAAGCCAGATGAGGCATTGAGATCTGGTTGCCTTTTACCTCTTCCACGTGGACGAAATGAGGGGATATTTTTTTCTTTGCTTGGAGTTACTGGCGACATTAACATTATTTAGCTGATCTGTAAAGTGAGTTCTTCCATTAAATACAGCAATATCACCTGATACCAAGCAGAATGCCGTACATGTTTGCGAACTACATGCTCACTGATTGGTGATTAGAGAACACACAAAGTAATCAAATTTTATTAAGAACAGATATCAAACTAATGATCTCGCTGAGGTAGTATTTAAAAACGACCTTAGGAACAAAATTTATTTCAAGCTCCCAAAGTTTCGAACTTTCCTACATTTTATTTCATCGTAACAACCAAAAAAATAGACTTTTTTGATTGTTAAGATGAAATAAGAGCAGGAAAGTTCGCAACTTATAAACCCAATACTTTCTGGAATAATCACAGACACATTCCTTACAGTACAGGAAGAGATGAAACACATTTCAGAAATGAACATTAAATCTGTTTCCTTTATGGAGGAGAGGTGATTACTGGCTCCCAATTGATCTATACAAAAAAAAGATTTCTCTCTTTTATCTATTATAAGTCCTAATAAAAAGCAGAATTTGAATATGCAAATTTTATATTGACTAGACAGTAATATTAGCCGAGTCTCATATAAAATATAGTATCAACAGATTACATGAAAAACTTCTAACCAAATGTTTTAAAAACATTACTTTCCAATCAATTGAATTCATAATTCCTTAATTTGCTTAAACCCAAAAACCAGTCCTATTTATAATACCTTAATTTGCATATTTTCAAAGACATCTGTGGAAAACAATACTGCTTGTCAAGAAAAAAAAATCGATTACTCAAACTATAACCCTTCATATATTCCAGTCAGTCCTGACAAACATTTCTTATTTGCGCCTTAAGTAAATGTCACCACAACAAAACTAGCTCAAAGTTTTAGAATTTATAGACAACAAGAACTTCTTTCAACTGCTATTTTAAAAGCAGAAATAAATAATTCGTTTAGCTTCGAAAAAACTTCGATATGCGATTGGCTAGAAAAATGGAATGCAGTGATAAAATCATTCACTTAAAACGATAAAACCACATGCACCATATGAAGCAAATCGATAAGGATGCAGGTCTATCACAAAGTATGAAACATAAATCGTACTAAACAAAGTCGCATTGATGCATGAAGATAGCATAAATGAAATACAATAAAGCTTAAATGATTAATTCTTTCAACATTAAATAAAGAAAATATAGCCTTTCCCACATACATCAATGTTTTCCAAAGAACTAGGCAATCAATAACACGTTCAAAGTCAAAAAAGCCAGGCACTTGCAGACGTATGTTCGTGTATTCACTTGGATCAACAAAATTATAACAAGTTAGAAACGTTGCGTAATGGAGAGCGACTGCCTGAAAGCGTACAAAATATAACACTGACATACCGCCTTCAGAGCAAAAATATTTAACACATTTGCAATCCAATCATTTGAAAGCGTAAAGCACTTTTATAACGAATCTGATTGGTCAGAAATAGAATTGAGTTGAAGAATAACAAACACTAATGATAACACAATTTTTGGCTTTATTGTGTGTTTGCAAAAGTCCCTTTTACTACATTAATACCGATTAGAATGACCAGTGGTATGATCGGTCATTCTAACCTAATTTGTCAGCAGTTGAATGCATTAATGACAATTGCATTTACTCATTCCATACAATGCCACTAGAAAATAGATGCTACGGCTCAAAGTAAGCATATACAACATTAGCAAAGCTATAAGTTTACTAATATTCCAATAAAAACTGCTACGCTACGTGAGGTTAACTACGAGTGTTCTATAATGAAGCACTAGAATAAACATTTCGCAAGTGACACAGCCCAACTATGAACTTGCCTAAGAGAAGATATAAACCTCTGCATTTCGTAGTCATTTATCGCCGCTCATCAGTGATCTTAAATTTTTCTTCAAGATCACATTGTATACTTCAATGTGATGACTTGGACTGATCTCGGCCATAACTTGTCCCCCTTTTTTGAACTATATGTATGCATAACATTTAGATGGAAAAAAACTGTAATCTTATCTCAAAATTTGACTCGACCACTTGCTTCATCTAATTTTATTTCCTACCACAAAATTAAGCAAATACTAGATCCTTTGTGTTCAGCTACAAATTCCTGAGCTTTTCATCCAGATTCCTTGCTTTGTTTCTTTTGATAAATTTTATACGATTAATTGAGTTCCCACCATAAACAACAGTTATTCACAATTTAATTAATAAATACTACTGCTCTATGATTTTTAGACTTTAGCTATTTTTAACTGAAACCCAAGCAATCAATCTTAAGATGTTAAAACATAAGACTAACGACTAATTCCTTTCTCTACCGCTATCGAGTACTATGATAGAACCATTTATCAATTTCATGTAACTAGAAAGAATAAATGGTTTACGTCTGGAGGGGAAACCATAACACACTCACTCAATCCATAACGCGTCTTTGCACTGACGTTAGTTAGCTTTCACGCATTAGCGAAACATTGAAAAACACGTGGACACATACCAGATTTTTATTAGCGACCGTTAAAAGCTGACACAAAGCATGAAATGAAGTAAGAGCATATGATGATGACAGCATAAAATTTTCATAATGCGACTTACTTGGATGGCATTAATTTGGAACTCTATGCTCATTATGTACTTTGTGAGTACCTTCAAAGTAAGCTGTATCATTGTCTGTAATATAGCAGGTATGTTTAAATTATATGCAGTTATGCATCGCGAAATAGTTTTCGAAAACTTTTGGATGGTGATTAAGCCGCTGTGAATGGTAGCATTCCGAGATCTACGTTACTTCTTTAGTTTCTTGTGCGTACTTCTGGATTATCTTCTTGGTTAGTTATGTTTTGTTCTGGATATCAAGCATTCATTTGCAAATTTGTTATGTGATCCAAGTCTACTCTTTAACTAGTCTTGCACATTGTGCACACGTAATGTAGAGGACGTAAATGATGAAAAAAACTGTTCAAAGTGAAATGGATGAATAGGTCGTAAACTTTTCTCCAATTATTATGCTGATTGATGGAACGAAATTATGTAGACAGCTTTAATCTGTACTTACCTCATAGTAAAGGACAGATTTCTTCTATTTATGTCATGTTACTTTATTTTTTTCAATACTTATTGTAGTTTGAAACTGTTAGTTTTGCTGTGCACACATTCATTATTTTTATGCATGTATCTAAAGCATTAATGATTTTAGGTAAGCGCTGCTGCCGTGTAATCATACAGTTCTCATCATTATTGTTAGTTTTTTTTTTGACAATTTTGTTGCTTGTTTGTAATGGATCTCAAAAATAGCAGCAATCCCGATTATATTGGGCCGTCTTCATCTAGTTCAACAAGTCTTACTGCTGTACCTGCACCTATTCGTAAGCGGCGTTTTAGCAGCGCTAAAATTCAGCCTGTCAGTTTGTTTCGTTTTCTGTTTTCAATTTATAGGTTATTAATAATCACATGCGCAATTTTTTCATATTTTTCAAGTATTCTTCATCTTAAGTGAATATTGTTGAAGACTTTTTGTATCTATTTAATTACATTTGATGAAAAGTTAAAGATTAAGACAGTGTACATTGTGGAAAATTTGCCTAGAATTATTATCTTATTTGAATTGCCGTTCGAAAATCTTCATTTCAACTACTAATAGTATTAAACTGTATTTCAAAATTTACTGACGTATTTAAAGAGTGAAAAATTAAGGATGAAATTTCCTCAAAACTAATGATTTTAGACAAGAGTAAAACGGGTAATGCAAAGTGATGAAGAAATTGGACGAATGGTGGCATCTGTACCAGTCGCAATTGGTCGAGCTATGGAGCATTTCGCAGAAAAATTACTCGAAACAGCTGCGCAATGTGTCTTATATTCCACATCACGTACACTCTCCCCGTCACATATGTAACATCTTACGTTCACAATTCCTCTTATTTTAATTTATTCAGTATGAAAAGAAACAAATCTGCACTTGACTTATTGTATTAATTTCTTCGCATACTTCAGATTTGAATAATATAAATTGTTTGTATCACAGTTGCTTAATAATGTTAAATTTCAGAAAACAGGCTGTAATGCAAACTCCGCATTTTATGTTTTTGGAATCGCTTATGCGAGACATACCATCTCCATCAACAGCTGGACCTGAAGTGCATTGGAGAACTGATTGGCCTGAACACCCATCTTTTTCGGGTTTTCATTCTTCAGGTTATCATAGTTATTCATCTTACAAATTATTTCTTTCAGTAACAAAAGTGGTTTTGTAAGTTCGTCCTGCGCGTTAGTTTTAATTCTGAATTTTTTTTTCGAATATATTTAACACTTAAAATCATTTCAATAATTCAGGCCTTACAAATGACCCCTCTTCTCATCTTAGTATGCCAGTTCCTGCGCAGCAGATAATCCTGCCTAAATTGTCATCGGGTGGAAATTTGATGGGCATGAAGAGACGACAAAGTAATGGTGAAGTAGACGGTGAAACTAAACCAAGAAGAGGTCGGCCACGAAAAGTTAAGAAAGAAGAGAAGTACTGCATTTTCAGTCTTTATATGTTTGAAATTGTGTAAGCAAGACTGTACTGTACAAACTTTTTTTCAATTTTTTCGAATTTCGGTCATTTAAGTCTTTTCTTTTTTTAAATTTTACCAAAAACTATATTAAGATGAAATAAATGTTCCCACGGTTTAGATGTGTTGATGACGACGGTTTGCTTATGGATGAGCAACCTATCTGTCATATGTTAGAAACAAAGGCGCCCCCAAACGGGTCTTTGCTTACGGATCGAGAACTGATGCCTCCTCCAAGTGTATTACCTATGCGTGTTCATCCAGCTAATGCATTCGCAAATTGTAAACGAAATATGTCATCAGTGAATATGTTATCTTCGACAAAATTGAATTATAATAATGGTGAACAACTTCAGTCATTAAGAGAAGAAGGAAAGTTTACGCAGTTATCAGGAACAGTTTCTGCTCCTTTGAATTTACAGATATCTCTAGATTCCGAAAGTGTGGCCGTAATTACTGATTCCAAAGTCGCCCAGTGATTTCACTACTTCTAAATTTATTTGATCACTTCCTTCTATATATTAGTGATGTATTCCATGTTTGGTAATAAGTTTTAAGTGATTATACATAGAAAATCATGTATTTAAAAATTATGATTTTTGATCTTCAGTTTTAGAATTTCTGTTCATTCAACTAGGTCTTCAATCAGCGAGATTAGATTTCAGTGATGTATATTGAGTGATCATCCATATCTGAAGTTTTTTACATTGAATGTTGTTGCTGCTAAAAATGAAGCAATGCTAAATCTCGTAGATGTTGCTTCCTATTTATTTTTGTTCTATAATACACCAGTAATTTTATTCCGTATTATCGTGATTTATTGATCGTATAAATATATTTGCGTGCTTCTAGTAATGCGTTTTTGGTGGTTTTTGCTATCAACTAATCTTTCTGGCCTGATCGTTTGTAAAATTAAGTGATCTTAGTCTGGCCTGATCTTAACAACATATGTTCTCTAGATTCTTCATTACTTCCATAGCTAATTTGCTGGAACGTTATCAAATTTGGAGTACGGGAATGACGGTTGTTAGACACATCGTAAACAACTAGTGTTTTATGGTGTTAAGAGTTAAATCAAATCTAATTCTCTAAAATTTGAGGTCGTAGAAATCGATGGGTAAAGTCTCGGTAATGTGCAAGTACAATGCTTTTGATGAGAAGTACGCTTTTGACGATGAAGGCTTGTTCACTTACAGTAGCACAGAACAGGTGTGTTAAAATTAAGTTGTGAAGTGAACTTTTACCTTCTATCAGGTGTTAAGGAACTCAGGTTTCCGTTGTAGAATAATTCTCTTTACCGAAAGTTGCAATATTAATTAATACAGCTCTGGATATCTCATGTTAGTGTTGCAGTTTCTTACGAATTTCGTTTCAATAATTGCACCACAAATTGCACCATTCTTGTTGAATTCTACAAGAATTTATGGCATAAGCAATCAGTTTTGTTAAGATACGTATTTTGCGATTAGTGTGATACTGGTTGGAGTTCAATTTCAGAAGCGAGTTGAACAGTTAGCTAGGGAACAATTCCAAAATTTTATCGATTCATTCATGGATAATATCGAAGATGATATAGATTATTTACCTGTGTTGGATAAAACACTACATATCAAGCATTTGGTTCAGTCTTTGGAACAGTTATCAAGCTCATTTTCGGTAAGCAAGTTCAAAATTAGAATTGGGTTTGAATTCAGGCACGAAATGATTAATTTTTTGATTAGTTTCATATTCAGTTTCTAAAAAACTCCTTTATAAAGATACATGTGCAACCTGCTGAACAATTTACTGATATTTTGATTTGTCGATTCATGTTTTTATTGAAGTAACCAATTTTATTCCTTCTGAACTTGTCATTTCTGCCATTATATCAAGATTTGAAGCAGTTTGTTCCTTGTATGAATAAATTATAAGGACGCACTGCTCCAAATTCCATTAATTTCCAGCAGTTGGAAGCATCTCGTGCTTGGTTCTGTTATTGGGGAGTACACAGTTTGGGGCTCTTGGAAGCACCACTCAGTGAAGACTTGGCTTCTAGGTTCTTTTTTTAATATTTTGATGCAACATTTGAGTATGGAAAATCGAAATAAATTCATGTAAACAGCTTTTGTTTTCCATTAGGCATGTTATTTGATTTATTTATGGAAATCGTTTCATAGCATTTGGAAATTTACTCGTTTGCAGCATTGTTCGATTTCTGAAGACCTGTGAGTGGCCTACTGGGGGATACGGAGGCAAGTAGTTTCTTTGGTTGATTTTACAGACATGGAAACAAAATTCATTATTGCAAATTCACATCATGCTAATTTAAATTACGTGAAAATGAATATTTGAGCACGTAGAGTGATCACTAAATGTTTCAGGACTAATGTAAGATTTAATATATTCAGGTGGTCCAGGACAATATCCACATTTGGCTACTACTTATGGTGCAGTAATGGCTTTAATAAGCATTGGTACCGATGAAGCTCTTGCGAGTATTAATACGTCTGTATTGTTTCTATCTGTGATTTTTTCATCATGTTCAGGCTTTGTAGGTCCAGTTCCCTTTCTATTACTTTTAAAAACATAAGTAACTTATTTTTTTATGTCATGCGTTCCTTTTTATCTTAAATTTCAGGACAACTCTGAAGAATTTTTTGCTCTCTGTCAAACAACCTGATGGCAGTTTCGCACTACACATTGGTGGGGAAATTGATATTCGAGGATCGTACTGTGCTCTTGCTGTTGCTTCTATTACAAATATTTTGGATAGCGAACTCACTGAGAATGCGGATATATGGATTATCAGGTAACTAATAATTTCTGGTTTATGTAAAAAACATTCACATTATCTGAATATTAACTAGTTTTTACATGCTTTATGATAATAATTTTTGATACAGAAAATTTTAGATGTCAGACTTATGAAGGTGGCTTTGGTGGTGAACGGTTTTGTGAAGCGCATGGTGGTTATACATTTTGTGGTGTAGCGTCGTTAATAATTCTGGGAAAAAGTGCTTTGATTCATAGATCATCTCTGATAAAGTGGCTTGCTTTTAAACAAATGAAATACGAAGGTGGATTTCAAGTAAGAGAATTTGCATTTCATTGTTTTCATTGTTCAGTAGAATTGGGAAGTATATTGTATGTCTACTTAATGTCAAATGATTTATTTTGTCGACTTTATTTTTCACTGAGAAAAGTTAAGTTACGTCAGTTTTCATAGTTTCCATAATTGATTTTATCCAGCTACCATTCACAAAAATCTATTTCTCGTTTTAGGGTAGAACAAATAAACTGGTTGATAGTTGTTATAGTTTTTGGCAAGCTGCTGTATTCCCTATATTAGAAGTTGCAGAACTTATTCTAGGAAACAGCGTTTTTTCATCGTTTGATGGAAAAGCACTGCAGGAATATGTTCTCATTGCTTGTCAAGATATGAACAATGGTGGATTGAAAGACAAACCAGACAGGTTTATATTGCGCTTCATTTCCTATTTGAACATTTGCCTGCCAGAAAGTCAGTTCTAAAATAATTAGAATGGCTAATGGAAAAGCATTTTTTAAATGACTTTTTTTTGGCTTTTGTAACTACTGAGTGGACTTTTTTCAGACTAAAGCTTCAGATATATATAGAAAAGGTTAATAATATCGAATCTAGTAAAATGAACACGATTTGGATATAATTCAAGCAGTACGAGTTAAATTTATGGAAATTTGTATCAATATTATTTAAGGTTAAGCGATTTATATCACTCATGTTATGCCCTGAGTGGTCTCTCTGTGGCACAATATTATACAGCTGATGGTGTCATTGGTGGAGAAGTCAATCGACTGGTATGGTGTTATTAATTCAATAACTGATAACATATATAGAAGTTCGTTACTACCTTATCTCAAGTCATCACATACCGATTATTTTCGTCCTGCATTTCATCTCTGACCCGTTTTATTAGCGAGTTACTTTCGCCTTTTTTCGATCTCGACTGCAGTCAACCTGTCCTGACCAGTGTCACCAACCTCTATCAGGATTATTTCATGTCGCTTCTTATCGTGGCTCATGATATCCGATCGATCCGCATTTATCTTTATAACTGTTCTGACACGCGTGTCAGCTTTTGCCTTCACGTTTTCATTAGCAACAATTCCGTGAATGGAATGCCTCCGCATCTATAAACATGCTTCCAGACCTTACTTCTTTGCAGAGTCCCAAATGACATCCCAATTCATAGTGTCTTCTAGTATAGTCGTGATATGACATTTTTTCGCATTGCGTTACTAGATAATCTACCATCTTCACACGTTCCCTACAATTTGGGCACCAAGATATAAATATGAAGCTGAGAAAGGTAACCTCTATCAGGATTATTTCATGTCGCTTCTCAGCTCCATGTTTATATCTTATCGCGCTTCATGTTGTGGAGTAATGCTCCCAATATTGCAGTCGTAATAATCAATGGACCATTAAGATTATCTCGTTACCCCGCGTGGTAAATTTCTTTTCCTTCATCTGAACAGCTTAAATTTCGTGTAGATTTTGAATGCATACTGGCACTCATAACATCTAACTTTAGTTTTGTTAACTCTCACACATTCTATCAAAATCTTTAAAAAGCTTCATGTGAGATTCATCCTCACACTCTTCTTGACTTCGCTTAAGTTTTTATCTTCGATCAAATACTGCTGTATGAGGTTTCATGAAAAATAAACAAGTTTAATTTTTCTATACCTGCTTTTTACTCGATGGCTTTTTCTGTTGCCTAGTCACTCTTTAATAGCAGCTGCAGCTGATTGCAGTGTAAGTCATTTATTTGAAGAGATTTTATGTTAAAATTTGTCTTCTTTGGTTCATTCCAAATGTAAGCGGGAAATGTTCTTTGAGATTCTGCATCAACTCTACCAGGTTTGTTTCACGTTTCCGGACCTCTTGCATTAGCAGCAGGCATTTCTGCTTTACATTCAGATTATCCTTAGACTCGTAGAGCATATTTTGCTCGAAGTAGGATTATGTGTCTTGACACGTTTTGTTGACTCGTCCAAAAGCCATTTCTATTAGCATGGATGACCTGCAACAGCAGGGATCGCAAAATTCGCTTGCTTCTTCAGTACTTGGAGGGAAATCGCACGTATGGTCTTCTCGCCTGACGGGTAGCAACACAAAAGCCATTTCCCTCTCGGCCATCTTACCGAAATCATTGAGAACCGTTTCTAGCACCTCTTATGGCCAGCTGTTCTGCATATTTTAATTCCACGGATGAGGTTTCGAGCGTTGTTAATCTATCTTCCTACTGTATCTAGTTCTGGTACACTGGCAAACTGTTTTATCACACTCTTTACGGAGTTCTATTTATAATCTTTTCACTTCTTGGCAGCCGCCTGTTAACAGAAATTATTCATAACATGTCCCCAACTGGTTTAATTGATTGATGGTAGGTATTACTGCCATTTCAACTGTTATATTCTATTTTATTGCGTGTACCGTTGCTGTTGCGGTTGTAGCTGAGTCTAATGTGACTATCATCTTTTTCCATAATATCGTCATGATAGTGCCTCTGTAATACATATGTACAAGTGAAGTCAATTTTTGGTTAGAGATTTTGCTATCAGTAAATAGACTGATTAATAAACTCTATTTTCACGCGAACAGTTTATAGAAATTTTTTCATTTTAGGCGCGAGCGTCACCAATATATAATATCTGTGAGGATGCAGAAAGAAATGCGCGAAAATATTTTGGAAAGGTGTAGATAATAGAAGATTTTCATTTGTATCTGGTTTAACTTGTGAATTCATACTGGAAATTTTGCGACGAGTAAATTTTATTTTCTGACCATTATTTGGATTTTTTGATCCCTTGTTTGGACTTAAAGTTCAGAAATTAAGGCGTTGTAATTTTTTGTAATTTCCATAAAGCTAGGCAACAAAACAATTATTTGTTGTATAACTAACTATTAGGAACCAGCAAGCATTTGACGTGAACATTTGATCGTCTTCTGTAACATAATTACTAAACTTATTTCTCATAATTAAGGGTTTTTTATGGTGTGATTTCGATTTTCAGCTA